CCATTCTGGGGAGAGGCCCAGGCTAGACATGATTCATTCCCTTCCAGAATGTGCTTCTAGCTCTTTGCCTTGCCACCTTGCCTTCATGTGGGTCCTTCCCCCCACCCCACCCCCAGTCCCCTGCTTTTTAGCTTACTTTTATTTGTTATCTTCCCCTATTAGAAAGTAAGCCCTTCAGAGGCAGGGACCCTTTCTTTTTGCTTATATTTGCATTCTCAGAACTTAGTATAGTGCTTAAGAAATGCTTGCTGCCTTGCCTTGTGAGGACAGAACACCCTTGTGAAGAGGTTGGGGAAGAAATGTGTTCCTTGTAGCCACAGGATGAATGGTGCTGTTTAGTCACCTTCAGTTCATTAGTTTCATATTGAATTTTCAGTGGATTAGTCTGAAAAATGAAATGATTTTTCTAACCTAATTCAGTCCCCTTTGGCCATGTGAGTCTATGTCCTTCTAGCATCCCATCCCATCCCGTTCAAGCTGGCTTCATGTAGGTATTTGGTTCCCTGATTACATTCATTGATGTAGTGATGTAGTCCTTGGAGCGCCATGTTGTTGGAAATGTGAATGTGGATTCCAAATGAAAGCTGCAGGTCTTTTAGAATGTTTCGATGTGACATAGAAATAGACTTAATATGCAGAGAAGTAAAAGAGATCTCCATTTTGAAAGCCATCAAGTCATTGAACCACCAAGGATAGAATTTTCTCCTTTATACCCTTTGTATGGGCAATCTGATTGGAAGAATCATTAAGAATAGTGGGGGTTGTTCAGCTAAGAGAGAGCCCTTCCAAGACCCCTTTCTTGTCTCATGTGATTTTACAGGGGCCAAGTTCTCTCACACGTACATGTACACATATGTAATTTTTCATTCATTTACCAAGCTCTTATTAAGTGCATGATATGTGCCAAGTTCTGTGCCAGGGACATTCAAAGACGAGCATGAAACAGTTCCTACCCTCAAAGAGCTTACATTCTATGGAGGGAATAACACATATAGAAAATTAAATACAAAAACATACAAATTGTACCCAAAATGAATCCAAAGTGATCTTGGTAACAGCAGGAAGGCACTAGCAGTCAGAGGGATCAGGAATGCCTTTGGGTAGGAGGTGGCTCTGGAGCTGAGGGATTCCGAGAGGTGAGATAAGGAAGGAGTAAAAACCAGGCACTGGGATCAGGCTGTGCAAAGGCCCAGGGAGATGGGAGATGATGGGAGATGTCATATCATGCGTGGGAACAAGTAAGCCTGTTTGGCTGAAACCAAAGGCATGAAGGGGAGAAATGCTCCATGCTCCATAAGCCTGGAAGGAGAGTCTGGGGACAGATTTGAAGGGCCTGAAATGCCAAACAGAGAAGTAATAAGGAACCCCTGGAGTTTCTTGAGCAGGGGTCCAGAATGGTCAAGCCTTTGCTTTAGGAATATCAATTTGGCATCTGAAGATAGATAGGAGATGCTCAACCGAAGCTAGGGTGGGATGGGAAATTGGAGGGCAGAGAGATCTATTAGGCTATTTTAATAGTCCAAGGAATGTGTAGTGGTGATTTGACAATTCAGGTGATGAGGGCCTGAATGAGGGCTATTGAGGTGTACATGGAGAAAAGGGAACAGGGCAGGTGCAAATGATATAAAAAAGCTTGAACTTATATAAAAGAAAGGTAATGGAGTTGTATCTCATGCCATCTTTTTCCTAGGCAAGAAATTAGGCCTAATGGCAGATCCTGAAACATATAGATAGAAGTTCTCTGTGGCCATGGGCCTTTTTCATTCCAGTAGCAGGGGACAAGAGGGCAAATGGTGGAGTGGAGAGAGTGTTAGACTTGGTGCCAGGAAGGCCTGAGCTTGAACTCTGCCTCTGACACTTGCCATCTGATTGACCAAGTTACTTCATCTTTATGTGCCCCCCAGGAAACTCCCTAGGGCATATCTACTAAATCATAGATGAATTTGCGATCTTTAGTGGAGGGAGTTCCCACACTAGGAGGGCCCTAAGCTTAGGAAATCACAGATTCTTTGGATATTTACATGCAGTGTTCACAGGTGTGCCCCATCATAAGAGATGCCCCCAAACCTGTCCAGAAGGTATAGAGGAAGAGCTCTGTACTCATGTGATCACACATTAGGGCTACAAACCTGAGCTGTCTTTATGCTAGCGCAAAACATTTCCAGTGGCTCATAAGGAGACCCGTGAAAATTGCGATGTGGGGAAGGAGGGTTGGAGTGAGGAAGAGAAATTGAAACCCTTAAAAGAGAACAGAAGGTCAAAGAGGGTGGAGTAGAGACAGACAGGGACAAAGCTAGCAATTAAACTGTCTAATCTTTTCCAACACTGTGGAAGCTAAAAGTCAAATTTCATTAGCAAACTCTTATGGTCTAACCACATTGTTTTGTATTCTAATTTTGTTGTGTTAAATAGTGTTTTCTTGGAGATCTTCTATCAAGACTTTGGGTGTGATACTGGGAAATTGTGGCTTTTTCCAAGTGGCTGCATTTTGGGTTAACTTCTGAAGGGATGAATGTACCCTCTTTGCCACAATATCATTTTGCTATTTTTATTATGTGGTGGAAATGTTCACTGAATCAGAGCATCTCAGAGGTTTAGATGGAAGTTTAGCTATCATCTCAGAGACAAAAGGCATCCTCTTTTCAACATCCCTTCCTAGTGGTGATGAAGCATACAGAGAGCTGTAGTTGGAATTGGAGGACCCAAGCTCAAATCCAGCTCTGTCACTGATGATCTGTGTGATCCATGTAGGTCACTTCATCTCCCTTGGCCTCAGTTTCCAAATCTGTAAAATGATGAGGTTGAACTCGATGACTTCTCCCTATAAATCTGTGATCTAGCCACTATATTATTTTTGGTACCCCACTTTTCTATCTACTATGGGAAAATCCATAGGAAATGCACCTATGGAGGCCCAGCTACTGGGGCCACTTTGACGAAAGCTGTTTCATCAGACAGGAAGATGCCATTACTACAGTAATGGTTACTGCATCAGAATGGACATGTGAAATGTCTGAGGCTAGATTTTTAGTAGAAGAGGATCACCCAATGAGCAGCTGTGGCCAGTGACTCTGAGGGCAGCAGACTCCTTGACCGTGTGGGTCCTTACTCAGGAGATGGGTAACCCATTTACCATCCTATGCTCTCTAAATATCCTTCCCAAGCATCCATTAGAAGTGCTTGGTCACCCTATAGACACATTGAGATGCCATGTAAACATTCTACTTCAATTGGGAACTCGATAAGTGCTAGGAAAATAGCTGTTCACTATTCTATAATCAATTTGAGATTGACCGCCACATACCTCAAGCCAACTGATAACTCAGTGAATGACCAGGAGTAGTAATCAGAGAGTTTCAGAATCTGAAGTCAATATTTCCCATGTTGTTAGAGACGTGTCTAGAGTGGCTGTCTGTGCCCCAATAGTTGGAGCAAGGTGGACTCATGGTGAGGAGGGTCCCAGCCACCCACACAACCTACATTATCACTAGGAAATTGCCTTGAAAAGAGAAACAAGAACACAACTCTTAAAGAGATGTTGTAGTATCCAATTTATTCATAAAACGATACAGTTTAAATATTTATGGTATTTTTTCAGTCAAACATTTCACCATCATTCCCAAAATGTTGTGCATTTGGCTGACGTGTATTTGCAGAGTTAGGAGCTACTGTGAAGACATTGTAGATCACACAAGGTCTCTGATTTACCCATTCAGAAAAAAAAGTAACAAACCAAAACATATACAATAAATAATAAAAATACTTAATATTGATTTGAAATTTATGTTCTCATCCTTCCAAAGGAAGACCATTTGCCCTTTCTACTCTCCATGCTTATGAAGCACCTGCCCCTTCTATCCATGACAGGAATAGATTAAGAGTTGGAAAAGATCTCAGAGGCCATGATGTCCTACTGCCCCATTTTTTAGGTGAGGAAAACTGAGGCCCAGAGAGGTTAATTGACCTGCCCCATATCACACAGGTTGTTCATGGAAGAGCTGGCATTCAAACTCAGATAGCGTGACTCCGTGACACATTTTTGGCTAAAAACAGTCCAGATCCAGTATCCCCCCCCCAAAAAAAAAAAAAAACCAAACAAACAAACCCAAATCTTGATGGTTTTAGGTAATATCTCAAAACCAAATCTCGCAAACCCTAGGCCTTGGAGTCCTATTACATGGCCTCATTTTGTGTGAGTTGAATTGGCAGGGTCCACTGTGATCTATACAGCTTTGTTACTGGGGGCTGACACAAAGATGGAGATAAGCCTGCAGGTTAGTTAACACAGGGGACAGGGCTGGGCCATGCTTCTCTATTCTTTAGTTAGAAATGTAGTAATGAAGCAATGAGGCATTGTAGTATGGACCTGGTAGATTCAACCTCCTTCTTTCCTTCTCATTCCTTTGTAGTTTGCTATGGTTGTTCTGCTACTAGCATAGAAATAGTGCATTTCTCAAGCAGTATAGGAATGTCCTGTTTGAGCTGATCTTCCATTCAACCACCAAAGTCTTCTAGAAGATCCAGGGTGCCTTCCTGAAATCTGTGCCTCTGTGTGTCAGTCCCTTCCCTAAGCAGAGCCTGGAGAGAACAAATCAATCTTGGCAGGGAAGAATCATAGACAGCAATTGCAAAATGGTATTATTTTTATTGGAAACATGCAAAATACAGTCCATGCATCTGCCATTTTGAAAAAATCTTTCATCCTTTAGCAGAGAAAACCAAATACTTTTTTTTTGGCTATCGATGCTCAATAAATGTTTCAAAATGCTTTACAGTGTAAAGATAATAAGAAATTTAGCAAAATTTCAACAAACCTGTATAAAAAATGGATACAGATACCATTTCATTTCAAGGCGACATGCTGTAATGTAAAGAGTAAATTCTTTTTTTTTTTCTTCATAAAAAGTCTTCAACAATACAACTGCTTAACAGATCCAAGCCTTGGGGCTACACATGCAGAAAAAAATGTCAGTTAAAAATCACCAAAACGTGCTATTTTGTTTTTTTAAGTACTGGAGTAGTAGGAATATTATGTATTAGCAGGAATAATATTTGAGAACTCTGTAAAAGCGTGTGGAGAAATTCATGGTGCTAGTGTCCTGGAAGACTCATACATATCTGAGGAACATTTGGGTTTAATTCCTTTGCCATTGTAATAGTCCACGACTTGATTTGGAACTTCAGCCAAAACACTCTTTGCAAGTGCAGCTGGAGATGCCTGTAGGAGAGAAGGCACATAGGCTGACATTTCCAAAGGCTGGGAATCAGAATCAAGGGCTCTAGGCGGCTATCTCTCAATAAATCAATAACGCTATCTTGGGCCTCAATGGCAGTGATGTCAGGCTCAAATATACTGCACATAAGGATCCCTGCCACCTCCTATGGATTTAGAAAACGACATATTAACATTTTTAATGTTCTGTTGTATTTTTATTTTGTTAAATGTTTCCCAATTACATTTTAATCTGGTTTGGGATATATTTGGGAGTATTGTAGGCTGTATGTTTGACACCTCTGCTCTGTTTGATTCAGTTTGATTTAATGTTCAACAGACATTTTAAAAATGCCTCCTGAGAGAGATGTGGTACTAGGTTATACTGGGGAAGGACAGACAAAAATCGTTTGTCCCTCAAAGGGCTTACGTTGTACTGGGAAGTGGTATTAAAATATCTATTCAAACAAGTAAATATATGATAATTTGAAGAAAGTTCCTTTTCCCTAGGAAGTGGCATTGATCTGAGCCTTAAAAGAAGGTAATCAATTTGAAAGGTAAAAGTGAAGAGGGAATGTGTTTGCTACAGGGGGACAGCCCATGCAAATGTATGGAAGTAGGGGATGAGATGCTCAGTTCATGGAACAGTTCGTCATCCAGTTCTGCTGTAATATATTTCTATTTTTGTCTCTTTTTCTACTTCAACATCATTCCTTTAGCTGTACATTTCTTGACATTTTTAGGTCTAGATAAGTGAAACACACATGTGTATGTGAAGATTCAAATCCCAGAGATATAGATGCATATACATATGTGGATATTTGTTGTTGTTCATCTGTTTTAGTTGTATCCAACTCTTTATGACACTGTTTGGGTTTTCTTGGCAAAAATACCAAAGATACCATGTGTGCATGTATGTATCTCTGTCTCTCTGTCCCCTTCCCCCTCCCTCCCTCTCTCCCTTTCTCTCTCCTGGATCTGCCATTTACTACCGTGTAATCTTGGACAAAGTCAAGTCTTCACTTCAGTTTCACTATTTGTAAATAGATGAACCTTTAAAGCCCTTCTAGCTCTAAATTTATGCTCCTATTAACTTATATTTATAAAGATATATGCATACTTCAGGAATGGGCTAATATCTGTATATGTGCATATATGTATTTATACACACGTGCATATATACATACATTATACATGTATCTACACAAATAGCTAGAAATATGGATGTAGGTATAGAAACAGGTATAGATGAGTATATACACACGTATAGATATATAGTATAAAGCATGTCGCTTGTAGAGTCAGAAGATCTGAGTTTAAATCCTGGCTCTGACATTTGCAGCTCATGTTTAGGTCTTGATTTCCTTACCCATAAAAGGAGGAGGATGGACTGAATGGTCTTTCTACCTCTATAATCTACATAATATAATTATATTCAGATTAGTTGACACAACAAAAATTATTGGCCCCTTAATGTGATAGTTGGTGTGCATTTGAAATTGGGCCAGATTTAGTCCTTAAAGAATGAACTCTGGCCCATGCATTCTTGAACCCTCTTCTTACCAGGGCATTAGGCAGTCATTTACATGGAGTAAGGAGGTGTGATCACTGGAGTGCCACTGCCATGGTAAGCCAGTTCAATAATCTAGTGACCTGTAGAAGCACCTCCAAGGAAGGGTTGTATCAGCATGTGAAAAATGTCCATCGTCCAATTCTGTCTGCCATATTTTAGAGCTGGGAAGAAGGGAAAAGGATGTTGGACTAGAAAACTACTAGCCCATTTTTGAGGGGTGGGTGAGGCAATGGGGTTAAGTGACTTGCCCAGGGTCACACAGCTAGTACGTGTTATGTGTCTGAGGCCAGATTTGAATCAGGTCCTCCTGAATCCAGGGCCGTGCTCCATCCACTGTACCACCTAGCTACCCCTGCCACTAGCCCATTTAAACCCTTGATATTGCATGTGCCTAAATCTACTTTTGGCGCCTATGGGGAAGAGGGGGATCAGATCCTAGATCAAGAGCTGGAAGGGACCCCAGAGGTCATCTGGTCCGATGCTTCATCTTACAGATGAGGAAACTGAGTCCCAATAAGGCAGTATGACTTGCCCATGGTCATACAGAGTAGTAAGCGCCACAGGGAGGATTTGAACCTAGGACTTCTGACACCAGAGCCAGCACACTTTCCATTGTACCAAATTCTTTTCTCAGGTTGGTGTGGCATGGGCCTTATACAAGGTGGCTAGTGTATCTATCTCCTACTGCTGTAGAAAAGATGAGAAATGTGGGTTCAATGATAGGACAATGAGATGGACTGAGAAGTGATCGAATGGTTGGACTGAACGAGTCCTCCTTAGAGGTCTGATGCTGGCTTGGCATAGCATTCCAGGAATCCGTTCTTGGCCTTGTGCTATTTGGCATTTTGTTAATGACCACAATAAAGACATTTTGTTCAGTCGTGTCTGACTCTCCACAACCCCATTTGGGATGGTCTTGTCAAAGATCCTGGACTGTTTTGCCATGTCCTTCTCCATCTCATTTGACAGATGAGGAAACTGAGACAAACAAGGTTAAGTGACTTGCCCAGGGTCACATAGCTAGTAAGTATCTGAGGCCAGATTTGAACTCAGGAAGATGAGTCTTCCTGACTCCAGGCCCTGAACTCTATCCACTGTGCCACATTGCTGCCCCGTGGATAAAGACATAGATCCCATCATTATCAGATGTTCAGATGACAAAAATCCTTGGAAGGATGACTAGTGCACTGGAACAGGGTCCAAAAAGATTTTGGGACATTTGGACAAGTCTAAAAATGTGAAATGTAAAGTCCAAGACTGGTAACAATAACCTGGTTGAAACCCACTTGCTGGACAAGAGATCCTAGAGAGGGTAAATTATTTTCCTAGGCTTACAGCAAACTTGGTACTCAAACCCAGGTGTCCTAACTCAGACCAGTGAACTCACCACTATACCATGCCCTGGTGGCTCTCTCCATGGAACTAAATTAAACTAGACAGGCAGCGTAGTCCAGTGGCAAGAGCGCTGGGTTTGAATCTTGCTGACCTCTGGACCAGTCTCATTCTCTGTGCCCTGTTTCCTCATTTGTAAAATGAAAGGGTCAGCCTGGGTGACCTCTGAAGTCCTTCCCAACCCTCGAGCGAGGATCCTGTGAATTTGTATTACTCCTGCTGAGGTTTGGTCTGGTTTTCATTTTATTTGGACGTGTCCTTATGCATTTTGTAGCTAGTAAAGATACAACTCTGTGGGAATGGGCTGAATTTTACTTTCTTTTTAAAAAGTGAGTCTAGTCATACACAGCCTTCTGGAAAAGCAGAAATGTAATTAGGAATAACAACTTTGCATCGAACCCAGCCTAGAGTTTTCAGGGATTCCTGCCAGGGTCCCAGTAGCTCAAGGAAAACACTATTTAGGTAGAATGGCTGGTATCATCATGTGCCTGAACTATCAAGGAAGACGCTGACATTGGCTCGGTGTTAAAGCCGGTACCATGCCCAATGGTAATACAGCCACATTCCAATTAGTGCGAATGAGGAGTCTCTTAAAATGGTCACGTGTATTTGAAATTATAATTATGTACAATATGTAAAAACTAATTTTAGACCAAGAGAAACATATAGGAATTTGAATAATGTGGCCACTCCAGGGGGTTCATTATTTACACTAATTGGAACCTAGCTGAGCTAGTCATCTAAGTACTTAACTAAGATCATATGCTAGAGTCTGTAAAGGTCAGTCTGGGACACATTTATCAATAATGTATTCCCTAATCCTTTCCCCTCCCTTCTCGTATCCCTGATTCCCAAGAAAAACCTGCTTACATGCTTAAAGTTCCTGAATGGTACAAACTGGACGATGTCCCGGAGGACAGGCTCTCCCTTGGGGGACCTCAGGATCCCGTCGTCCCCATCCAGCATCTGCATATCGCTGAAGTCGGCGTTGCCAACGCCGACTATGATGACCGACATGGGGAGGTGGGAGGCGTGGACGATGGCCTCCCTGGTGTCGGCCATGTCTGTGATGACCCCATCTGTCAGGATCAGCAGGATGAAATATTGCTGTATTCAGAAATGGAAGGTGTTGGGGCAGGATGTTGGGGAGAGGAAGAGGGGAAAGGGAGACAAGGACGATGGCAATCAGACTGCTGGTACCATAACAACTAGCATCCAGACTTACTGGATCTTATCCCTGAAGCCGTAGATGGCTTGCGATATATATTGGTAGTGGGCATGCCTCCCGCTGCCAGAGCCACAGATCCTTCCTGCACTAGGCTACCGTTGAAGCAATAAAAGAACCCCCAATGCCAAGGGGATCCTAAATAGCTCACAGTCATACTTGCCAGAGGAAATCTCTCAGGAACTAACAAATTCCAGTATAATTTTTACAGTATTCCTAAGGTGCACAATCTGCAGAGTGAGTCAGTGTTGGGGAGCTAAAAACCTACAATCATCTGAAAATCCAGAATGACCAGCTTTGGGGGGAAAAGGCATTTCTAAGGCCATAAAGGTGAATTTGCTGTTTAGCTCTCCCTTTGCCCCATATGCCTAAAAATCTGTATTTAAAAATTATAGCTTAGCCATAGACATAACTGAAGAACACCATGGAATGGGTAATAAATTGAAACTAGTCATAAAAGGAGAATGTGGAGATAAAAATTTTAAAACCCTGTTCATCTCGTGATTGAAAAGCATTTTACAGGAAGAAAAACTCTGCTCCTTGGCTACAACCTATATCCGTAGCCTTGGTTGCCAAGACATTGGACCGTTGGTTCTATTGATCTGAAGGAGAATGGGATATGAGAGTGTAGATGGCTCCGTGTAATCTCCCACTACTACTATGAAAAACAAAAACATAAAGCTCAAGTCAATACTGATGGTGTACCTGTAATAGTATTTTCACATAATCTATAAAATATGACATCAATTCATCTCACTTTTTCTTCCCACCCCAGTTCTACTTATGGATTTATTTCTCTCTATAGCCTGCCCTGCATTGGTGCATCCCCATATTCCAGATAATAAAGTAAAACGGGAAAATAGCTCATTGGATAGATCCTTTAGAGAGGATTTATGGGAAGATACCTGGAAAACTGCCATTCTTCTGAGCCATCAAGGAAGATGCTGACATTGGCCCAGTGTTAAAGCCAGTCCCATACCCAATGGTATCCAAAAAACGCTATTAAAGATTCATTTACACTTGTATAGGGATCATACCTTTTAGGTTCTTAACTCTAACCTATTACATTCCATTTGAGGTATTTTCCATTACCCCCTTTTCATGTTATCTCAATTTGTTATTATTGTTTCAACTGAACGAAGATCAAGAAATTGAAGCAGGTTGCTAGGAATGGAGGGAAGAACCAGTAGGCTGGATCAAAGGGACCAATGCCCATTTTACCATCCCACGGCCTCAGCAGCCCAGTTCGTTTTACAGAAAGACCCTCCCCAGAGAGCTCATTCTCAGCATGGGCAAGGTATGGTCAGATGCCAAGAGAGGAAAGATGAGTTAAGGAATGCCAGGTCCCTTGCCTCTCCCCTTACCGATGCCTCCTTGGTGTTGGTCTCCTCGGATGCAGACTTGGCCACCTTTTGGATGATAGGAGCAATGTTGGTGGGCCCGTAGAGTTGTAGCTTAGGGAGGCAGCTCTGGTAGGCTTCAACAACTCCTTGGATTCCTTTAGAAAAAATAAGAAACACAAAATTATACCATTAACAGGTAGAAGTGGAAACATCTCATGGTGTCCACCTCAGGGTGGATTCATCGAGGGTAGGGATGATGGGAGAAATAATATAGTACATGGGCAGAGGGACCCTGGGGGTCAGGTCCAGGAATGGGGACAGAGTTCCTGTCAGCAGTTAAAAGGTGTTGTTGGGGTCAGGCATTCACTCATGAGGGAGGTGTCGTGGGGCCATTGAAGCTGGTTGAAGGTGGGAGAATGGGAGTGAAGGTAGCATTTCATGTTCATATAGCTCATTCCAACACTCCACAGGAAGTAGGACCTTCCAACGTGATTGTATGTGGATTATTTATTGACATGCACATCTGAGCTGTGTGATTTCATCAGCGTGGGTACTCCCTCCTCTGACATAGATGTGGCCCCTTTCCATCTTAGTTAGGCAGTTTTTGTGAGCTGCAGTAGCTGGAAAACTCATCAGCCTGCAGCCAACCTGGTGATGACCTTGTCTGGCTTTAGCTAAGCTTGTCCTGTGATGATGAGCAGTCCATCACTAGACCCATACACAGCACCCTAGCTTAATTGCACTGGCATTGCCTTTGAAAACCCGAGGTCATCTCCACAATGAGGCACCAGAGGAGGAGTAGCTGACATTTACTTGTTAATAGTAGGGAAATTATTCCAAATTTGATTTAATTCCACAAGCATGTATTAAGTTCCTGTGACATGCAAGACACTGGGTTAAGTACTAGTGATACAGAGACAAAATGAAAAAAGTCCCTTAATGAGATTATATTTTACTGGGGGAGGGGGTAGGGATGAGGGAAAGGAAGCAAGTAATAAATTCAGGGTTTCCATTCCCCATTGCTGGGTTTTTTGTTGGAGATCCCATTTGGAGATACTGGAGTGGTTTGCCATTTCTCCAGCTCGTTTTACAGATGAGGAAACTGAGGCCAGCAAGGGTTAAATGACTTGCCCAGGGTCACACAGCTAGCAAGTATCTGAGGGTGGATTTGAATTCAGATTTTCCTGACTCTAGCCCAGTGCCCTATCCATTGCGCCACCTAGCATCCATTACTGGATAGTGTAATGGTTAAAATTAGTGTAAACTGAGGCACAAAGTTCTGAGCATAATCATTTTATTCATAAAGCACGAATTTACCAGTAAATAAGATCTCAGCTTCCTCAGCAAAGCTAAGATCCCAAATGAAAGAGACATCCCTTTTCATAGTTTTGGGGAGTAGAAAACAAAGAACAGGATTTTGTAGGTGGGGAACGAGTTATGATTGGTTAAAAGAACTTGACATCATCAGTGATAGAATCAATATGATCGGTTACAGAGCCAGGGTGTGGGGGACAATTTGATTGGTTGAAAATTGGGAGCGAGCGGCTAGCAACACCCCCTCCTTCCCTCCTCTGACTAAGCAATGTTCATTGTTTCAGTCCACCTGCAAAGTTAGAGATAATGGACCAGACTTCTTTGGATAACAAACTAGACATCCTTGGCACAGGAATAGAACAGCGATTAATAAGATTGCTAAACCTAACTCATTACAGGTCAGCTGAATTGTGAACTAAATTCAGAGAAGAACCATGACTTGGGCAGCTACAAGACAAAATCAATTAAATGTAAATAGGATCAATTAAAAGATGATACAGAATCAATCTGATTTTTTTAATAGACCCAGCATAGTGCTTGGCACATAGCAGATGCTTGATATATGTTAGTTTACTGTTCTAGGTATCTGCTTCTCTGTTGCCTTTCCTCTTCCCTTGTTCAAGCTCCCTTCCTTAAGTTGGACAGCTAGGTAGCTGTATGACCCTGTCTGCCTCAGTTTCCTCATCTGTAAAATGAGCTAGAGAAGGAAAATGGCAAACCACTCCAGTTTCTCAGCCAAGAAAACTCCAAGTGAAGTCACAGAGTCAGATATGATTGAGCAACAATCTTAAGGGAAAGGATCCTGAAATGGCATTTTTGTTTCCAAGTAAGGTTTGGGTTGCTTCTCAAAATCTCGTCTGTTTTTTTTTTTTTATCCTGTACTTCATGTCAAACTGCAAATCAGATCTTGGAATTTGGATGAGGGACTTCTGCTTTGTTCTCATGGAGAGGCTGTATTGAGACTCTTTGAAGACATCAGCATTCCTCTTACCCCTCCCTACAGTCTCTAATTTGAACAATAGCTTCCAAATGATTATTCATCCTTGTTCTGCAGATGAACTAATTCAGTGATGCTTCTTTTTGGCTGAGGTCTGCGAGATCACGCCTAAGATAAACAGGCTTGATTTCCCTTCCCAAAGCATGGGGCAGATGGGTTGTAAGAGTATGAAGCAGATGGGGACTTGGTTGGAATCAAATAGTTCTTGGAGTTTAAACTGCTGGGTGTGGGGAGGAAAAGGGAAGAAACCAGAATGTGCATATACCCAGAAGGGGGAGAGAGAGGAAAGAGGGAAGCAGGACCTTTGGAGAGTGGAATAACCCAGAAATAGGGGCTGTGCTGTACTGTTGCCAAACACATGATGATTGTCTATGTTGGTGCCAAGTTTGACTGTTGTGACTGTGAAAGTTGACCTTAGGATTCAGGATTTCCCTAACCCAATTCAGGCAGAAGGTAGGTTATACTGACATATGATCCTTCCATTTTAAGCCTATTGGGGAGGATATTAGAGGTTGGAAGCAAGGCATAGTGGAAAGAGCTCACTTAGGACTTAGGGGCAGGAGAGGTGGGTTCAAGCAGTGCAGGCTTCTCCCAGCTGTGTGAGTAAATGACTGAAGAAAAAGCATTCATTAAGCACTGACTATGTGACCAACACTGAGGATATAAATAGAAAAAAATGAGATCCATGAGCTTACGCTTTAATTGGGAGAGACACTACACATAAAAGAATCTCAGTTACAGGGCAGATGAAAGGTCTCAACGTTGTAAGAATGGAGCACAGGGACCTTAGGTAAAGTCAGTATGTTAGACGAGAGTGCCAGGGATCTGAGAGGCACAGAGGCTGGGCAGATGGAAAGTCTTGGAGAACCTTGGAGCAATGACTAGGGCCAAGTCATTGTATCTCTTTGAAGCTTAATTTCTCCATCTGTAAAATGGAGAGAATTGACTGCCCATAGGGCTGCTGTAAGGAAAGTGCATAGGTTCCCAGAGTGGGTGATCCAGGGTGGGATGGTAGTAACCTCAGGTACAATTGTGGGGTGGTAGAAGCATAAGGAAAGAAGAGAAGAAAATTCTGAAAAACCGTTCATATATGTTTCATCTGTTGTATAGCAGAGTTAGTCATAGTGATTACATTATTTTCCAAACAAACATACAAAATGCAAATTATAACTGATCAGGGGTCTAGTCCGCTGATAGGTCTTAACAAGCAAGTGTTGGCGGGCGAGTATGTTGTGCACTGTCCAGAGTGCATTGGCAGGAATATGTGCATGTAATGATTTGTTTATGATATGATACCATATGATGCAATATTGCATCATCAAAATTTCATGCAGGAAAACCCCACAAATTTACAATAAATTATTAAATTTAAGAGGAATCATTTCAATATTTTTTGAAATGACCCAAATTTTTTAAAAAATTAGAGGGTTAAATAAAGTAGATTTCCAGGAGAGTGCAGAGTAAATTTTTTTTTTGAAAAGGGGGCCGTAGGCCAAATAAGTTTGGGAACCTCTGTGCCAGATGAATATGAGTTGGGATTGCTACCTAGCCCCTAGCCTAGCATATAGAAACATTTTGGGCAAGTTTATCATGGTAATGGTATGTGGGCCTATTGGGATAATTCTGTGGGTTTTTTAATTGTTTGTTTGTTGGTTTATTTATTTAGTAGAGCTGGACAAGGAAACCTTTAGATGAAGTTGCCAGAATGGGGAACCTTGGAGATGTTTTTTTTTTGGGGGGGGGGTCTGGGAAATAGTTCTTCCTGAAAGGGTGAATGGCTCACTACTTATTTGCTTCATCTCCCATCATAATCATATTTGCTCACAGGACAAACATAGACTTAACATATAATCCATGTGTGTGACTGACTATTGGATATGTTTTAAAGGGACCCAAAGGACTGACAAAGAGCCTTGCCTCCTGAGTGGGCATTGCCTTCCTCTAGTACAGTCTTTGGAGTGGCCTGGAGTGCACTGAATATGCACATTTTAGCTAAATTCTTAAAGCACAAGGGAGTCATAAGGAGGACTATAGGATGATAGGACCGTGGCTCACAGGATCACAGATTAAGAATTGGAAATCACTTTAGAGGATGTCTAGTTCAACCCCCTCCCTTATAGATGAGGAAAATTAGGCCCAATGACAGTAAATAACTTGGAGTCACCCAGCTCCCTAGACTGCAATTCTAGTATTCTTTGCACTGCACCATGCAGCACTGGGGTGACTATTACTGGAACCAAAAGCAATGGAGTTGGGCTCTTATTTATTGTCTCTGTAACTTTGGGCAAATCCAATACAAGTCAACAAGAATTTAATAAACGCCTCTTATGCACAAGGCAGGAGGTAGCTAGGTGGTGCAGTGCATAGAGCTCTGGGCCTGGAGTCAGGAAGAGCTGAGATCAATTCTGGCCTCAGACACTAACTGGGGGACCCTTGGCAAGTTTGTTTGCCTTAATCCACTGGAGAAGGAAATGGCAAAACCATTCCAGAATCTTTGCCAAGAAAATCCCATAGACTATATGGTCCACAGCTTCATGAAGAGTTGGATGTGACTGAACAACAACAATATAGAAGGCATGTGCTAGAGAAAATAATTTAAAAAACCCCAAAACTGGTTCTTGCCTTCAAGGGCTAATTGCTTCTCTGGGCTTCAGTTTCCTCATCTGCAAAAATGAGGGGGTTGGACCATAATGTCTCTAAGGTTCTGTCTCCTGATTTTCAATCTTATGATCTTAAGTCATTTTTTCAAGCTCCTTTCCCTCCCTATTCCTGCATCCGCACACTCCTATGGACTGCCATTGACAGTAATTGACAAATAACTCTTTAGACAAAGTACCATCTTGGGAATCCCAAGGCTGATTTTGGTACAGAAAGTCAACCTCGGATCCTGGGATGAATATCACACTATGGTTTTGTATGTGAGAAGAGTGGCTCATAGAATCGGAAATGAAAAGGACCTTATAGGTAATTAAATCTACCTCAGTCTTCCTCAACCCTCCATTTTGCAAATGAGGAAGCTAAGGCCCAGGAAAATGAAGTGACTTGCCTAAGGTCATATGGATAAGTAACAGAGCAACGATTCAAACCTGCGTCCTCAGACTCCAAATCCCGAGTTCTTTCCATTTTATTATGTTGCACACATGGAAAGGGCTGTAAGATTGGTTTATATTTTAAACTGTGATTTTACCTGCACATTCCGGATTGTCTTCATTAAAATTGATTGCAAAGTCATGAGAGACCTAGACACCAATTAAAAAAAATGAAAGAAAAAAAAAAGAAGAGAAAAGAATTACAATTTTAATCCAGTAAGGAGGTCCTGGGGTTTAAAGTTTGCAAACAAATGTCCATTACATTCATTATGGGTTTAACAGCAGGAATCATCTTAAGCCTTTCTCCAATCAATCTGAGAAGGAAGATAAATTCTCAGCTCCCTGGGGAGTAGAAGTGACAGGGATATTTGTTGAATAACATTTGGTAGGGAGAGGGAGTAGGGGAGAGGAAGGATGCCTAAGAAAAACAGAAAGAACTGGGTGAGAGAAATACACGTCTAAGAAGCCTGGGAATGCTGCACACAGATTGGTGGCTTGGATTCTGGAGGGGTCTATGACCTGGGTGATGAATATTTTTAAAAAATAACAGCTCTGTAGCCTAATCGAGGCTTCCACTCGTGATAATAAACAGAGGAGCTCAGGTTTGAGGTGTTAGTATTTCAGCGTACATTCAAAGCAAAGGAAAACAGGAAGAATAAGTAGAATACACCACGTAAATGGAGGTGAAATTGACCACAATCGAATTATTGAAAAGCAACAAAGCAGCAGACTGATCTCTAGCCCATCTTTTCATACAGATTTTTTTTTTTTACTGTTCATGGTTGACATATACAAGGACAGACAACAGTATGGTATTTACTCTTTTCTTTCTGAAAACCCCTAAGACACAAGAGGTAGCAGAAGCTCTAGTGTATGGAACGAACTATAGCTGGACATCTAATAGAAAGAAAAATGTCTTCCCAGTCTTGAGAATCTTGGGATAGATAGACCCTGACAGTAGGAGAGGATCACTAATTAAAGAAAGGGGAAGCTCACACCCAGACATCTTTCCAATTTCCCCTTATAAGAGAAAGCATTGTATTGTGTAGTGGATAGAACACTGAAATTGGAGTCAACAGCACATAGGTTTGAGTTCTACCTCAGACACATGCTTGTCATGTGTGACTGGCATGTGGCTTAATCTTTCTGGGCCTCAGTTTCCTCATCTGTATAATGAGGGGGTTGGATGTGATGACCTTTAAGGTCTCTTCCACTAACTTTATGACCCCTGAGAGCTAGTAGCTACTTGGATTAAGAGAGAAATTCCCTTTATACATAGAGTTCAAAGGCTGCAAGGCAATCAGGACTGAGGAAAGGAGAATAGGAACCCCAGGTACTAGATGGAATGTTTAAAACTCAAATGGGTCCAAAATTGTGACTTGTGAAAATTATTTTCACTAATTTAAGGATCTGATCATTGCAGCACATGCTGCATTCTGGAGGGAGCCCACAAGCTGGTAAATAAATCATTGGGGTCAAAGCCCCATCACCACACCTGATCCCCTTTTCCCTGGCTGCTCCTTTGTGAGTGAAATTGAAGACAGGGCAGAAAAGAGGGGTTTAAAGCACCTTGGGACCCAAATCAAGAAGAGAAGACAAGTCAGAGGACTAGGGACCATAGCAGTAACAAGGATGGTGCATATGGGGTCTGTCCAAGGGTCCTCCATTTTAAGTGGTGCTGAAGTTTAACATAGCCATTGCTACAGCAGCAATAGAAACAGCCAACGTTAGCACCTACTTAGCAAGAATAATTAATGAAAATAGGAAGATGCCAGATGGACATCATTAATAATGCTCATCTGTGAGTTTATGGCAACTAATTTCCCTCCTGCTCCTGAATTTGTCTGAATTATTTCTTCCCAAGTAAAGTTCATGGGAGGATACCTTTTATGCTGCTTACTCAAAGTACCAAAATGGCTCGTGCTGGTTTTGTGATCTTGACCCTGCTGGGGGGTAGTCTGACATAGGTTTTCAAGTTGGGGGTGTGAGGTGGAAAACAGCCAGAAGTAAAAGCACCCAGCCAGGGCAGCTTTTGCCAACAACAGTGTAAAGTGGGAACAAGAGAGATTGGGCCAAGGGGAATACTTGGGCTTCAATTTTTTTACATAGTCTCTACAAGAAATATTCTGTTTTGGGGCAACTACTTTTACCTAATGTTGACCTTAAGGCATATCCCAGGCTAAGGCTCCACCGAGAATGCCTGTTCCCATGCCTCTGCATGGATCCTTCCATGTTACAGCATCTGAATGTTTTATACCATCTCTAGCTATCTTGACACCTAGATGTTGCTATTGTTCGTTGCTCCTGTTTCCTTCACAAACCAGATTTTAAACCCCAGTGAGCGGATCTGCTAGAAACACATTTAATAAATATTTTGCCAATGCTAAAGTACTCTGAGTTGCAAGAAATAGACTTACTGAATATTTCTCCAATGCTAGGGTCACATCCTCAAGAGGCCAGACAGTGGGACAGTTCCTCTGGTCTGTTTTCAGGAGCCATCCGGCCTTATACTTGACTGACTCCGTTATGGTATATCATAGACAGAGGGGCTCAGTCTGTGATGATCTAACCTCAGTGTTTCTACGTGGCTCAGCTCTTTTATCCACAGAGGGGAAGGGAATAAGGGAATAACACGCGTGACCCACCACGTGCTGGGCAGGTATAGTGTAAGCCAAACCTTTAGGGAGGCTAATAGTGCTCTTGAGAGGATCTCAAGCATTACAAAACATGATCTCCCCTCCCCCCAATCCCCACCCACTCACCGTGTACTCCGGTGGTATCCGGGCTCCAAAACCGAAAGCTGGAAACATTTTGTCGCTGAAATGAAGATTTAGAAAAAAACACGGATTGCTTAAATGTGCTTTCTGACGGAGGAAATAGGAATCCACGTTACTTGTTTGGGAGGAGGTACGGCGTGACATCAAATGGTCCTAACAGTACAGGAGCACAGATTGAGGGCTGGAAGAGACCTTAGAGGCCATCTTGTTCAAACCTTTATTTTACAGATGAAGAAACTGAGGCCTAGGGAAATGCAGTGACTTGTTCACGGTCCCACAGATAGTAAGTGAAAAGGACTGGATTTGAACTCAAATTCAGGGTGTTTTCCCCTGGGCTCCACTGCCTCTTCAGGTGTAATGAGAAATAACGGGTGGAATGGGTAATAAAATCAGCAGACGACCTCACAAACCTCATTAGTTATGGGTCTCAACCTTCTCCTAACTTTGTATGGGATTTAATAACAAGGAAAGGAAGGACCTCAAGGTCTTTTAAATTTTCTTGCATCCATAGAGATGATGTTACACGTTGAGCCACAGGGAAAAAAATCATTCCTACATTTTGTTTTATACCATGGTCTTATCTGTTCATGTCATAACTCCTCAACTAGACTCTAAGCTCCTTAGCAGCTGGGATCACATTTTATAGTTTGCATCCCCCAATTCAGAGGCAGAATGGTGGAGTAGATAGAAAGTTATGGGTTCAGGTTTTGCCTCTGTGTGACCTGGACAAATCACTTAACATTTCACTGCTCTAGGCAACTTTCTAAGACTATAAATTGCAGAGAAGTTGCATGTGAATTGGTAGAGGGAGTTTTTCATTTGGGAGTTCCCTATGCCCATTAAATCACAGACCCAGTCTGTCTCTGTTCCCCTAAACACAGTGCCTAGTGCTGTAAGTGCATGAATATGGATGAGTGTTCTTTGTACTGGTAGAATAAGTCCGTGAATGCTCAGGAATTGGCAGTCTAGGAAAGGAAACCTCAAAAGAGCAGGTAAAAAGCTAGCAGGACAATACACATAGCATTTCGTGATCTCTGCAGTCAGCCATGACTATATGAATTCATTTTCCTCATATGTAAAATGAGACTAATAATAATATCGACTTCACAGGGTTGTTGTGAGGAGCAAATGAATTAACATCGGGAAAGTGCTTTGCAAACCTTAAAATGCGATATAAATGTCAGCTTTTGTTGTCGCTGTTATTATATGCTCAAGCCTCACAATTCCCTTGTGTATGCCATGGCACTATGTTATGGGTCAAACTGTTAAAACACAGCCCTCTTGGTATTCCTGACTAAAAACTCCTGGGATAATGAATAGGTTAGGCTCATGATATGCAGGTATCTCTTCCATATGGCACAAGTTAGGCCCACCCTCCCCACCCCCACAATCTGGAAAATCCATGGAAAAGTTTTTTGGCTCTCCCTTTGTACCAGAGAAGTCTGAATTATGGCATTAAAAGATCAAATATATTGATATGATACAATCCTTCACATATCTTTATGCATTTCTGAGTTTCTAAACGTTTTCTGTATTGTCTGTTGGCCTTTGCATGTTGTCTGTGGCTTCTGCACAACTCCCCAAATATTCCCATTTAATTTCTTATGCCAGCCCATCATTTATTAAAACCAAGATGGGGAAAGTGGAGATATGGAAGGGATAACCATACTCAATTTTGTGCTCTTCTGATTAGCATGACAATGTCTTGCCCTCTTCATAGTGACCTGAATTAATGTCCCATTTTCCATTTACTTCTTTTCCTGGTAGGAATACAATAGAGATGCTGAGAAATATTCTTAGTCCTCTCAGAAGTCCGGAGACCTTGCTAAATGGGCAAGGGTTCAGATTTGCACTTGACTTTTCAAATGCTCTTACTTTGTTCTTCATGGTACCATGGTGGTGGTCAGCATTCCATCATCTATGATCTCAAGGGTCCTGTAACAGTGGACATAGTTGGTCTACCCAAGAGCATAGGGAAGGGCTCAGAAGGGATTGTCAGTGATGCAGCTGTTACTCATTGGTGGACATGTGCAATTATACCACCCAACCCTCTTTTTGTTTCCCATGCTGAAGTCTCAGGAAGTTCCTAGCACAGACCACCTCACCTTATTTCCTTAGGGATTCCCATGACAAATGGGGGGCAAGGAAAGCCACTGGCATCTCAGAGCTGTACTATTCCACCGTGAAGATGTCCTTGAAGAAAGAATTCTTCCCCTTCTTCTAAGACAATTAGTTCTGAAATTCTAGTAGAATCTTACACCCATGTCCCAAAGTTCTACTTCCTGCTTTTGTATATAATCTAGAAAAGAGCTCAGGTGGAAAAGAGGCAAATGTAAGCCTCAGGTCCTTTGCCCACAGCTGATGTTGCTGCCCTCGGAGCTCAGCCGTCCTGCCTTGTGTGGAGTGTTGGCAGTGTTCCTTCTTTAAGGTCTTGTTCTTCCCCCTTCCCTTTGCGGAGAAGCTAGGGACCGATTCCACCCTTCACATACATTCTCTTGTGTGAGGGCATCACTGGCTAATTGTGGTAAGTGCCTTCTCCTGGCTTTGTGGTTCCTTCCATGGAAGGAAAGATCTGAATGTCTCATCTCCATCTTTCTCTACCACTCTCTGGACCTTCCTTCATTCCCTCCTTTCAGAGGGCTCGGCTCGGCTGGGCTACGGCTCCTCTAATTATTCCCTCTGCTCTTTTTACACCTTCTGAGAGAAAAGTTTTCTCATTTGAACCGACTTTTCTTTTGGTTCATTTGAGGTAGAGGATTTACTACAAAGATCTTATTCCTTAGAATCTTCTCCTTGTGCTCAAGTCCTCTTGGCGTGACCTACTTAGGGTTGCTAAGTGCTGTCCCACCCTTCTCACTGTTAACTGCAGAGCAAATGAACGGATTTAACAAGCTTTATTCCAAACTCTGTTGGAGAGTGGGAAAAGTAGGATCTGTGGTAATAATGATAGTCACCACTGCCAGGAAGTCAAGGTGGAAATTGAGAGGAGAGAAAGGGAGAAGAGGAGGATCTTTCAATTCTATTCAGTCAGCACATATTAGACACTTTTATGTGACACACATTGTACTAGGCTCTGGGCATACAAAGGCAAAAAGGAAAAGTTATTGCATTTAGGAAGCTTGCATTCGTCTATTCACCAACAAGTAAAAACAAAGTTAAGTATAGAAGGGAGAAAGCATTAATGAATGATTGGAGGGATCAGGGATGAGTTTTTGCAGGAGAAATGGGCCTGGGATGAGCCTTGTCCCTACATTCTCGTGGATGAAATTCCAAGTACACATAGAAGTAAGTACAGCTTTAGGGGGATCAGACCTGGGATTTCATAAGTACAGGGACTGCTTTGAGAGGAACGTCCTCTACCAATACAGACTTACACCAACTAGCACTTTTTGTGTAACCTCTAGTCTTAGAGAGGTAAGTGACTTGCCCATGGTCTCACAGTCACCATGTTTCAGAGGTGACGCTTGAACCCAGGTCTTTTTGATTCACAGGATAGCTATCACAATACCATAGTGCCTCAAAAATACAAAACATACAAAGGAAATAGAAGGAAATGTTACTGGGGTTGAGAAATAGGGGGAAGACATTAGAAGCTGGGGGCACCAGGTGAGGCTTCCTGTTAGAGGGGACATTTCAGCTGGACTTGGAAAGAAGTGAGAGATGAGAAGGGAGTGCCTTCCAGGCATGGCGTAGGAGGCCCAGCCCTTTACAAAGTGTTGAGATGGACAGTGGAGTATGGTGTAGACTGTGTAAAGAGGGATGTTTCGTAATAAGCCAAATGCTCTCTTCTTCTTTGCTTCATTTAGGTGAGACCTATCCAATTAGACTAAATGTTCCAACCCCAAGCACAGAAACTAGTGCCCTACCTTAATTACTGTTGTTATTCCCCCCCCCCATTATCAGAAGGGATTAAAAATTATCTTCCAAACCACCACAGGGAAGCTGAAGCTGGCTGAGCAGGACATAATCAGTTATGTAATTGGGTTTCAAGAATAGGGAGGCAGCACTGTCTTACCTACAAGGGGAATAATTAATGAACTAGGAGACCACAGATTCCCCAAAGATGGTCATCAGAACACATCTGGCTAATAACAGTCACTTAAGCCAAATCTAAGCATAATTGTTTTAAGCATTGTTTCTCCTTGATTAAAATTAAAAGTAGGTAGAGCAGATCCCTGCTGTGTAAAACTCAAGAAGACTCAGGCCTAGAAGAAAATACAGAATTAATGTAAAAACTTTAAAAAACACCTCCAACCAACCAGTACTCACTATAAGCCAGGCACTGTATTAGGTAACCATTAGGGATACAAAGACAGAAACAAGACAGCCCCTGTCCTCAGGGAGCTTACATTCTATCAGGGGAGAATAAATAAGTCTATATGAATTATATGCAGAATTAATACAAATGAAATACTCTGGTGGAAGGGAACCAGCAGATGGGCATGGTCTCCTTAAATTTGACAGCCACAAGCTATGCAAATCCAGAGCTTTTAGACTCTTAATAAAGGGACTTTCTCAAGGAAGACAGCATTGAAGGCCATGGTCCTCCCACGCACAGTGGGAGCTTTGGTGAAAGGGCAGTGGAGGAGGAGATGGGAGATGCATTCCAGTCTCAGCCCTGGTTCACTCTTGCCCTGAGACAACTCACTTTCCCTGAAGTTCAGTTTCCTCACCTTGAAAATGAGAAGATTCAACTCTATAATTGCTAAGGTGCTTTTAAGTGCTAACATTCCAGATTTCATGAATACACATTGCCATCTCCTTGGTGTCAGAGCCTTTTTTTTTTTTTAGTCTTTGTATGCCTGGAACCTAGTACAATGCTTGATGCTTTTAAAAAAGTTGTATTGCTCTGTTTAATTTTTCTGTGACCTACATTTCAAACATATTCTTTGCTCCTCTCCTGCCCAATGAACCTTCTCTTATAACAATATAATCAGTGCTTGTTGAATGACATTGAGATCACTTAACATTTTTATGTCTCAGGTTTCTTATCTATAAATTGATAGGGTTGGAATTGTTGAGTGGTTTCAATTCAGTGCA